ATAATTTGAGAATTGCGTATATGCCTTATATCATTAGGTCTAGGTTTTAAAACCTAAATAACACTATTCATTACGAGAATAACTTTGCAGTGTAAAAGCGCATACACAATTACAATAACTTTTTAGCTATTCAATGAAATATCTTAATGTAATACGTAATTATCGATTACTAGAAAACGGGGTTCATTACGATTTTTCCAACAAAAAAATCTTATCAAGTGTAAAATAACGCTTAGAAGGGTCTTCTCGATCAAAAAACGAACACTATGCACTTCAAAAAAGAGCTCTCTTTCACAACCCAGCTTACAACCGTGAGAGAATTTACGACCCTTCTTGTGCTATAAAGTACTCTATTTGAATATACACGTCAAATATCAAACACACTATCCCTTCCCTCGGTCGTTTCAACTGAAACGAACAATCCCTAGGAAAAAGAAAGAACAGCAATTAAAAACTACATCTTTTTAGAGAGCTGGCTTCGCAAAAAGTGATTTGCGAATAAGTCCCCCAATAAGTACTTATAATTAAAACAAAAGGATAGATATCACGAACGATAAAGGTATGTGAAGGTCGAATTAACGCCATCGCTGACAGGTAATCTAATCTTCGTCACTCTCTTAGATTCGAACATGCGCACATTTATTCATACGGCGCAAGTGTTTCTATTTAAAGTGAAAAAATGTGTACCTCTAACAAATACACGTATACGATAGATTATATTACGATTATATTAAAAGTTATTGTTGCGTAGAGCTCTACATAATATTAATGCGAACAACAATCTTAATGGTGATCGGACAACGCACATACGTATTGTTCGTACGTGCACGTGCACGTGTATCGATATCTCAAGGTCGACGATTCGACTTATGCGAAGCCGCGGAAGGCGGCATAGATCTAAGCGGACGTCGGCACGTTTGACGCCACGGTTTCTTTGTGATTGTCCGAAATGCAGACACCGCGGACCCGCGACGCCGCTATTCGTGAACAACCAATCAGGAAGGGGATCGAGATCCGATGTAATGCGCGACGGAATCTCAATTGCTCATTCTTTCGAGTATCGAGCTGCTGACCGGTCGTAGACAAATTTCGATTAACGAAGTCTTCGTCGAGAACTTATATACGTATACGTGTGCGTTACCGCGACTCAGGGTTACCCCTAGGCGTCGTCGCGGTTAAATCCGATCACCAACAATAAATTTCTTGACTCAGGGTGACTCGCGACCACCCCTAGGCGCGGTCAAGAGGAAATAAATCAAGGCAATCGAGTTCCTTATGCGATATCATAGTGTCATGTAATGCGCGACATGAACACATTAATGCGAATAAACGATACGATTATTACAATAAACTTAACTCATATAAGTGTATATGACAGAACTGAAGTGTATTAATTTAAATATAATAAAACGATATTTTTTGACACGGAACCACAGCAGAGATATTAGTGTTATCTCTCTGATACGAAACAGTTATTGCTTAGAAAAATATGGCGATAATATATAAAATTTGCAAAGTCGAGCGAATCTGCTATGAGCGCCTCAGCGCAGCACCTCACGTTCGTGTTGAAATTGTCGAATCCCTAAAATCGTGTTTTAGAAAAGTGTATTAACCGACGAATATAAGGATTATTTCGGCGAGACGTGTAGACATTAATATTCAAAATACAAAACGTACGTTACATCACGGCAAAGTTTGTTAGACAAAAATGATAATAGAATTACCGATTAAAAATTAAGTTGTCTTCTCTCTTAATTTCGAATTCCGCGAATATTTTACAAACAGAAAAAAGTATCGAAATAAGATAAGCATTTCATTGTAATATAATTGGAAACTGATATCTAATCATAATTGTTCCAAGAGATACGAATTCTTTTTAGTTTCTCCGACAACAGAGAGTGTAGGAAAATCATGAATGAGTCCTATTTTCTAGGAGGAATTCGACGTGTCGTACTTTGCGTGCGGACGTATGCACGCATACTTAACGCATAGGTGACATATGTACATGCAGATATATGCGACTCACAATAGACACATGTTTCACACGCAAGGGTAACGGACGTGAGTACAATGCACGTCATTTAAGGGGATGCTAAAATCGTCTGTTTTATCAATTATTTTTCAAATAAGTATTTTTCTAACTGCCTTCATACAGACTTAAAAGTCCATCTCCTTAATTAAAGTATAAGCGATAGTGTAGTTCAAACCGGTCGACTTTATATCAAAAACGAAAAAAAGTTGAAAAATTACAGTTTTATTATCAGTTTCTCTGATGTCGATTCGCATCGATATTTGCTTTATATATAAATTTTAAATTTGTACGTATAAAACAATATTGGTTTGGACTAAGGATTACATGACAAACAATGTCGTGTTCTTAGAATTAGACTTAGAAGATACCTAATATAAAATATTATAGTTAATTAGAAAATTTGTATGCATGTGTGCATATTATACTTATGTAGTAGTGTGTACTGATATGTCGATGACACGTAAATCGTATGTGTGTAAGTTCTATTGAGTCGGTAATACAGACGGTTTTAGGATCCCCTTAACGCCATTATGTTAACACTTCACAGTTCTAAGTTTCATAAGAACGGAATATTGTTTAACGAATTTGATGTAACTTCAAAGATCTGCGTGGAAGAATAGAAGCTTCTGCTGTATCAAATGCAACAGATCGCGTTATGCAATTCGATTTGTCTATTCGTTTTCCCGCCAGATGATTTAACATGATAAAGCAAACGTGAGTGTTGCACTCCAAGTGTTGCATTTCTTTAATCGTACGTATAACAATGGCGAACTGCCTTAAACTAAAATTACGAGTTATATAATAAACGACAAGATGTCGAAAATTATAGGATATCGGCGTCATCCAATAGGTTGCCATGTATGTTTTCTTCGTATGAACATCTGACGCGAGTCTCACACGTAACAAAAGGATTGCACAAAGTGAGTCCACTTTATATAATGACGTGCGATGGTTAATTAAAAGTCAGTCGCTGTTATAGTGTCCGTGAGAATTTCTCTTCACGATTCAGACATTCGCAAGGCGAAAACAGAATGGTGTTTTTTATGCAGAATGTGTTGGCAAAATCTGAAGAATACCTATAGTACGATGCTTAGTACGAGATTCTTACACTATGCCTAATACGAAGTGTATAATGAGAGAATAATTATGTGTCGTATATATGTATAGTATATATATGTATAGTATATACATATGTGTAAAATTAATTATTGAATTAATTCTAACTAAATTTCTAAGCTTACTATATAGCTTAACTAAAGGCAAGAAACAGAAAGTTCCACTAAAAGACATAATATACCTATATATGAATCAAAAGAAAATTTGGTCATAAAATTTAGACATAAAATATAAATTTTGAAGCGAAATCTTATGTTCATAAAAACTTGATTAATATGCAAATTAATTCTTCTGTTACAAATTAACGACGATGATGATAAATCTGACACAGTATGGCGTACATGCTTATTACTGAAACGCAAATTCATTTACGGAAACAAGTCATTAAGTATTCTATGGTAATATTCGATCGGGCTATGCATCAAATTGTTACTTGAAACGTGTTTCGCACGAAGCAAGAGAGATGAGACAGGGGCAAGAGAAAAGAAGCAAACAGAAGGGAATGAGACTGCATATCGAAGGGACAGTGTTTTTTAGTGTTCTTATTTGTAAATTAATTTGCCGCAAGCTGAAGCGACCAGTTTTTGAGCGGCTATTTCATTGCACCACACCGCACGTCTGACACATCCGCCGATTTTGCGCGCAGATGCGCTCGCCTTTGTATGAAAAATTTTAATTATCGTAGAATAGCGGCTGATAATTCGTCGTATACGGTGTGAAAAAAGAATTTTAATATGGACTGAATTAATTCATGGTATTCCAAGATTAATTGCTTTACTCATTAAGATTAAAGATTTACTCACGTTAATTACTGCGATGTAATGATACTTGTTCAGGCAAGAAAACACGATAGATAAAGTGTCGGCCGATTGTGTATTTTATGGAAAGTCCTTGGCAATGTATAATGCAACTACGCACATGTACGACATAATTTTTATTGTTTTTCATAAACGACACATAACAATCGGACGACATTTTATCTATCGTGTGCTCTTGTCATTACGTTTTACAATATTAAACGTAAAAAATGTCACGTATCTGATCTCTTCGAGCATTGAACAAGCACGATTTGCATGAACATATCTTAGAAAGAAATATTTTTCTTCGATTATTTTTTTAAGAAATAGAAAAATTTGAAAAATTTGTCGAATAAATTTAAGTATTACATAATCATAATCGATGATTGAAAAATGGATGTCTTACCATGCTCGATCATGCGTGGCTGTAAGTCTCGTATCTTCCAATAATATTCAATAACACATCTAAATTGAGAAAACAGCAAGTCAGTATATGTATAATATATATGAATAAGCAGAAAGCATCAAAATCACTATGTCCATCATCGATTAATTCGACCAACACTTCGCCTGCTTGCGCAGCCACCGCCGTCATTCAGTGTTCGGTTTTCCATACACAAAATTGGCCATCCGCCATCATTGTGGAGAAACCAGCGGATAAAATCGTTACTTATGATCGGATAGATTTCTTAACGATTCGCTTGATGCCTGTCGCGCTTACGGTCGTTTTTCTCTGCAGCGGTATCTTGCCATCGCGTTCTCGCACCGAATTTTAAAATGGACAGACACGTGAAGACGCGGTACATGAACTCGCCGGACAAGCTCAAGGGACGTCAGAAGCGGTATGTCGCGGTCTTCTCATTCTCCGAGATTATGCTTGATTGAGCTGCCTTGCGGGAGCTGCTTTACCATGCGTAACGTCAGGGTCCGTCGATTTCGTTTCGCCTGAAACGAAAATCCGAACGCGGCGATTGTATACAATTCAGCGTTCGCCTGCCGAGAAAACGCGAGTGATCGTTTGAAAAATGAATGGGTTACGCTCTGCGATCTTGTTGTTCGCATGACGGTCCACGATCGTTCGATCCATTACCGCAAAGATCTGTTATCGCAATGGCGTCGATCATTGTGAGATTGTTCGTAGAGAAGCCGTAACTTTCGTCCTTTCACGAAGGACCACGATCACAATCGGGGATTAAAAGCAAAGGACGGAAAACGTCTGGGAACTTGCTGCGAAACCGACATAATAATTTTTCGCGATTTTTTTTTTAAGAATTGCTCGATTGACTGCGATTTGCTCGGACCACTGAATATGTAACAGCGTTGACTGCACACCTCGCGAAGCGATGTCCGAAACGTGTTGGCAATGATTGATAGTCAGGTTCAGTGCTCGTCCCGACAACCATTCTATCACTTTGGAGGCGACACGATTTTCTTTGGATTCTACGACGTAGTTTTCCTCGACGATTTACTTCATTGATTGTTAACGGTCGACCTGAAAGCAGAAAAATTGGATGGTAATAGAGATAGATACACAATATGATAATGATGTCGCTCATTTCTAAGATCTCTTAAACAATCATGTTTTGCCATGTTCTTTCTAATTTTACCAGTCATAATAGCCATTTTTCTAATTTTAATTAATAAGGCATTAATATGTCATCGAAAAATATCGCTATTTTATATCAATAATAAATGATAAGTATGACATGTTCAAATAAAGCAGAATACATCTCATCCTCTTATTTTTCACTATAATACTTTCCTTTGACTTTGTTAATTTGAATTGAAGTTTTAGACACATTTGCTCGTATATTTGTCTTCAATATTTATTCCCAATTTAAACACAAAATAATTATTGTGACTAAACCGCAATAACAATTGTTAGATGTTGAGATCATATCTATACATCACGGGAATAATAACGTAAACAAATTGATTCTGTCTTATGCAATAAGATTTACGCAACATGTCACGTGTAATTCTACGACGCATAATTTTCGAGATTCAAAGAAGTAACAGTAGTTTATACGTAATTTGCTTTAAAATGTAATAAAACCAATGCGATTAATGTAACCAATGTCGTATTAACGCGGACTCTATCTACTCAGATACGTAATTCCACATCCTTCTACGAGATTAAAAATGTCATTATTTTCAAAATAGTAATAATTCCGATTTAATTATGATCTACAATTGCTTTTTAATTATTATCGCCTGTAATATTATCTACAATAGGAAAAAGAAGTATAATTGTTACACTGAGAAAAATGTTCGTTCAAAAAGTAACAAACGGATATTTTCGATTGATTTTGATCGGATTTATAAGACTATCCGATCAAAATCAATCGGAAATATCCGTTTGTTACTTTTTGAACGAACATTTTTCTCAGTGTAACAATTATACTTCTTTTTCCTATTGTAGATAATATTACAGGCGATAATAATTAAAAAGCAATTGTAGATCATAATTAAATCGGAATTATTACTATTTTGAAAATAATGACATTTTTAATCTCGTAGAAGGATGTGGAATTACGTATCTTGTTACTTTTTGAACGGATAAAGCCCGGAAAGTTTTCTCAGTGTACAGCTGTGATTAAAGTACCAGCTGTAATGAGGGGATAAAAAATATATAGACCTATCTATCTATGTCATTTAAGATTCATAATAATACCGGATAAATCGCGTTATTTTATTACCGCTGACAACGTTTACTGACGTAAATGCACAATTGCCAAACGACTTGACATGCAATGTAAAAACGCAGCGTTACATTCAACTATGTTCAAGAATATACTGCACTTATGGCATCATCAACGAAAATACCGCTTATTTGCATTCTTCATTGCGATGACAGTTTATTACCGTATTTAATTTATTATATACATTACACCTCAAGAATTTCCTCTTGCAGTTTTACACATTATCCGTCTATCAAAACTATCAAAAGTTTATAATATAAAAATAATATTTGCTATTTAACAAGGTTATCACAAATTTGTTATCATTTAAGTCTTTATTAAAATGATGTAAGGAAACTGAACCCAATCCAATCGTTCAATATAAGCAACAACGCGGCACTAACACTAACGCAAAAAAAATTACCGAATGCCGGAAACCGCCGACTAAGAAATGGAGCCTGGAGAGAAGTTAACGACCGCCATGTCGGCTTATCCAGCGGATATTAAATCTGGTAGCGGGACATTTCTCATTCGAGAAGTTTTCTCAGAGAGACGACCGACGAGAGAAAACTTACCGCGATGCTTTAAAGATCGTCGAGTCGCGAAGGGGAAGGAGGCGGACGAGGTCCACCGCCGTAAAACAAAATCCACTACGGAAAGATGGCAAGAGAGAAAAGAGTGGACGAGAAAGAGGAGAGGACTGAAGAAGCGACAAGGACGCGAAGGAAGAGTATATTATGTTCGCTAAAGCAATGTTACCAACTCGAGAACTGGCGAACTAGCCGACAGTAAAATCCATTTTATGTCTCCCTCGTAAAGTCAGTCAAATGAAACCCGGACTTAGTTTTCATACGTGCACCCAATGGCAGACCCGGTTTCCTGCTCGCTACGATAGCAGGTTGTAACAAACTTTTTCGAAAGTCTAGACGCATTGGTACCTAGATCGGGCATTCTTTGTCGAATCAATCTTGTTTGGTGAAACCTCATTATGTTTTCGATGGCAATCGATTACAATCTCGTTTTACTTTCAACATCGCTGCGAGTTATATGTCACCAGTTTCAAAAAATCTATTTTAAAAACTAATACAAACACAAATTAAGAAGATTAATAAAATTAAGATATAAAGTGGAAAATTAAGATATATAAATCATGGAAACTCTGGAAAATATCAAGAAGTCGACCATTTTAATTTGATCCATGACGCGTGTATGGTATTTCGATTGAGTCTTTTATTTTGATTGATACACACGAAGCAATAACTTGTAAACAAAGAGCGGTACAAAATAGATACTAAAAAGCTTGACCAAGCAAAACATCGTTCGACACTAAAACCTGGTCGCCTCGTAAAATACGTCTCGGCAGACACACATCGAAAGAGTAGTGGCGATAAAGACCCAGTTCACATCTCAGGAGACCGACTTTGAAAAGATCTTTCGTTAGATACCACGAACCTCTTCTCAGAATCATTTTAATCGACTCCTTTGTTTGCCGATGCTGCAACCGTGTCTGAAAGATTCATTAATAAAACGTAATCGTGCCCCAACTTGAAGAAGAACGCACGAAAAACGCAAAAGTGGTTTCGACGAAAATACTATTACGCGGTATATATGATATATTATTGCGAAATCACCGGCTTTTATAGCTTCGAGGAACCTACAAAACTTGTAAACCATCGAAATATTAAGTAACGGATATGCCAACAATACAAGGAAAATGATTTCGAAAGCAAAACATATCAGACAGACATACAGAAGAGAACGTGATAAAAGCACTGAAAAGAAAAACAATCTGGTTGGATTAAGTAGTAATTCTGATAGAAAATGGACGAACAAGAATTTTTCGATTAAATCTATTAAAATTCTAGTTGAGATAACTAGAATTGTATTTGATGTAATTATTCTGGTAAAAAAAAAAAATAAAAATCCTAATAAATTTTACCAAAAATATTATATCAGTTAGAATTCCGATTATCTCAACTAGAATTTTAATAAATTTGGTCAGAAAATTCTGAATCGTCTATTTTCAATCAGAAATTTTTTTGAGTGAAATGATAAGAAAAATTGAGTTCATTGATACGCGTGCGATGGTATAGTCATAGTCGTCCATCATTGTTACACGTATTTAACCAGTTGACGACGCTTGGAATATTATTTCCACTCGTAAAACGATCCCTCTAACGATCGACAGTTACTTTGATGTCGTTTCAGGGGCGAGACCGAGCGTTATGTCGTTCCTGGTCGTGTTGCAATACACATTCTTCTCGTCTCGCTTTAGAGCTCGTGAATTTGTGCCGGTACACGATTCGTCATCTCGTTTTCATGAGGCTTTAACCGTCCGCGCCTGGGTCTTTTTTTACGAGCGACTACTTCGTCAAAGTGCCAACCACTTTGTTAAGTACACGTATCTGTAACGGTGCGTTACGACGAACGCAGGATCTACTAGTGTTAAGTGGATATGAGCTTTCAAGAAATATTCGATGACCGATCGCAAATATCATGAGAGCCAATAGCTGCCTTGAATGATGTAAATTTATCGTGCTATACGTACAGTCTATACGTGACCGTATTTGCAATTACTTTATATAGTTTTTCAGACATGACAATCACTGCGCATTATAAATGTAAGATTTTACATGCATTTTAAGTTGCTAACGCATTTACCGACTCGTTATATATTCTTCTCTAGAAAAAACTGCGATACCCTTTTATTATGTATCATTATGCGTCATTGCTCAAGGAAAGAATGATATGTTAACAAATGTATCTCGCAGCAATTGCACGTATTTTAAGACGTTATAAAATTTTAATATCTATAGATTCTCTCATTCCGAGAAAGTGAAAATACAACTACCCTTCTTCATTTCTTAAAAAAGAGCGATAATTTTAACTTTTTTTTTAGAGTGAATTTTCACTTCAAAGGAGTGAAATCTCACTTTTTGTGGGAGTGAGACTTCACTCCTTTGAAGTAAAAATTCACTCTAAAAAGAGTGAAAATTGTCACTTTTTTTCAAGAAGTGAAATATTTTCATTTTTTTTCAAGGGTGGTTGTATATTTACTCTTTTGGAGTGAGATTTCACTGCAACAAATTTAGAGTGTAAGTTTATTTAAAGTTATATATCAAAATGTGTTCGTTAAGAACAGAAATATGCATGCAAAATACGCAGCTTCTCCATATTATTAACAGTAATAATTATAATAATCATCACAATAATAATAAAATAATAATAAAACAGTATTAAAAGGGAAAAAAGAAGAGGAAGCAAACTATAATGAGTCGGAGACTTTGGTTCATAATTTATATTTGCATTCTTTCCAAAAGACCCTTTCTTTTTGATCGACCATAGAATGTCTCATAAAAATATGATTTATAGCTATACCGCCTCGCAATATCCTTAGCTGCGTAATCTACGTTACTTATATTCCAATGATTCACATATATCTACGCTGTTCCCATTCAATGATTTCTGCACCCAGGTAATTCGACAATCTCAGTGAGGGATTAACTTGAAGCTTATTGATCAGACAGTTTAAAAGATACATGATACAACGAGAAAAGACTTTTGATCCATCAATAACAGACTTTAGAATCGACAGAAATGAAATTTGAAAATCATTCCGCGTTCATTGATTAACGTCACTAACTACGATTAATCATACTGATCAAATAATCTGTATAATAAGATAATTTTTATTACATTTGTGTTTAATATATAATTAATAAATAATTAATAAAAGATTAAAAATTATAAAAGTAACAAACATATTTCGTATAAAAATTTCCAAGCTGTATACGACTTTAACGCTAAGCTA